TAAACTGGACCCCCTACACAACCTGGCCCACCTTACACAAACTGGACCCCTACACAACCTGGCTCACCTTACTTAACCTGGCTCACCTTACTTAACCTGGCCCACCTTACACAACCTGGCCCACCTAACACAAACTGGACCCTCTTACATAAACTGGACCCCCTACACAACCTGGCCCACCTTACACAAACTGGACCCCTACACAACCTGGCCCACTTCACTTAACCTGGCGCACCTTACATAACCTGGCCCACCTTACACAACCTGGCCCACCTTACACAACCTGGCCCACCTAACACAAACTGGACCCTCTTACACAAACTGAACCACCTACACAACCTGGACCCCCTACACAACCTGGACCACCTTACACAAACTGGACCCTCTTACATAAACTGGACCCCCTACACAACCTGGCCCACCTTACACAAACTGAACCACCTACACAACCTGGACCCCCTACACAACCTGGACCACCTTACACAAACTGGATCCCTACACAACCTGGCCCACCTTACTTAACCTGGCCCACCTTACACATCCTGGCCCACCTTACACAACCTGGCCCACCTAACACAAACTGGACCCTCTTACATAAACTGGACCCCCTACACAACCTGGACCCCCTACACAACCTGGCCCACCTTACACAAACAGGACCCCCTACACAACCTGGCCCACCTTACACAATCTGGCCCACCTTACACAACCTGGCCCACCTTACACAACCTGGCCCACCTTACACAAACTGAACCACCTTACACAACCTAGCCCACCTTACACAACCTGGCCCACCTTACACAACCTGGCCCACCTTACACAAACTGAACCACCTTACACAATCTGGCCCACCTTACACAACCTGGCCCACCTTACACAAACTGAACCATCTTACACAATCGGGCCCACCTTACACAACCTGGCCCACCTTACACAACCTGGCCCACCTTAAACAACCTGGCCCACCTTACACAAACTGGACCACCTTACACAAACTGAACCACCTTACACAATCTGGCCCACCTTACACAACCTGGCCCACCTTACACAAACTGAACCATCTTACACAATCTGGCCCACCTTACACAACCTGGCCCACCTTAAACAACCTGGCCCACCTTACACAATCTGGCCCACCTTACACAACCTGGCCCACCTTAAACAACCTGG